AAAATAGGGTTTGAGCTTTGCTGCTAGCTCAAAACTAAACGTCACTGTTACTTTTGATGTATTTAAGAAGACTTTATGCTGCTCCCAAACCCCCAGTGTGATCCTTTCCTACTGAATTGGGGTGTAATTAGCATTAATTCAGGAGGATAAAGAGTGAAAAGGGGAAAAATAAGATTTATTATGTTGTTGCTAGCAAAATTGAAGATCTGAACTGGTAAACTAAGACATCTCTGAGCACAAAGACGACAGAGCAGGGTCTGTTTGTAGAATAAAGGTAGTGAAGAGCCTTTTACTGCTTCTCCTTGCCTGCATTTAGGGCTGGACGCTGTCCTGGACAGAAGAATTCCCTGTAAAAACCATATCAGGTTACAAGAAAAACAAGATTGCCGCTTATTCCTGCCATTGAGTCGGAGACGACATATTTACAGATGGGACTGACCTTGTGCCTGTTGACGGATGTTTGTTTGCAGAGCTGCTGATCGCTCTTCTAGTCCGAGGGGAAAATTCCAACTGTTTGCAGAGCCCGAGGAGTAAAAGGTGAATTTTCAGAGCACTTTGGTGTCCTCTTGACACCCTTTTTAAGGTACAAGCAGCAGAGAGGGATATATCGTTACTAGGCAGGGTGTTTGGAGCAGTTTTTTGGGGATATCTTCTTTTTTAGAGCCGTGCAACTGCATAAGCATTAGTAAAATAGGTCTCTGCTTAACAGATACTATTCTTAACAGGACCCAGAATGACTTCTAAGTGTTAGATGTGATCTAATGTTGTCCTCCTCTGAGCCTAGCAGCTTTGCTTTGAACTGGTTTAACTGTCCTGCTGGTTTTAATACATTTTTTTCTATGGCTCAGGACACATTTAACCAGTTAAGGGCACTGCATTTTTCACATTTTAAAGATGTTTTTGGTTTGCCTTCTCTTTTTTTTATTGGCTATTTTTTGGTCTGACCTTGGCTTGTCCTTTCTTACCTCAGCTTCCAGTTAAGTTTCTCCGGGAAAGGTGGCTATTCAGGAGCCCTGTGTTCTTGCAGACTATTGATAGTGCCTGAAAAATGCGATGCTGAGCAGTTGTGATCTCTCGGTATCTACAGACGTGGGCTGAAGAGGAACGTGAATTCAGCTAGAGCTGCAGGGCAAAGCATAGTTGTTATTGCAAGGCTGACGCTAAAAGGTTTGGAGCCCAAAATGTGCTTCTAAAAAACCCTAGCCTAAAGGTGAGATTATTTTAGACTTGGCATTTGAACATAGGATCGTAATCCTTATGGTCAACCTGACTTTTTTAGAAGGAAATTGTCTTTTAGATGTGTATTTTAAGCCTGGATATTGATAAAATATGCTGAGGCATCCTTCAAGAGCTTAGGTTCAACTGTTTTCTCTTAAAACTAAGCTCAAGGAGGTCAATCCCTCTCCGTGGATTAATGATTTATTAGGAGACTCAAGGTAGGAATGCACGGGAGCTTGTAGCGGAGGAAGATCCATCTGGTTACACCTATGTATTTTCAGTGCACTTGAAAAATAGGGTAGGAAAAGGGGCGAATGATCTTGCTGATCGCAAAAAAAAACCACCAGAAAAGAGCCAAGGAGGAACTTTTTAATGGTAGAGAGATGATGAACAGGCAGTGACTTAAACTTTTAAGTCCCTAGTAAAGGCTGGGGTCTTTAATGATTTTGAATAATAAGTGTTCCAGAGTGTGTTTTGGAAGTGTGGAGGACAGATTTTTGAAAGGTTGCTCTCTTTCTTTACTGGAGATGGGGTGGTAGGTGTTCGATGTGCTACCGTTTGCCACTTCTCCTTCTCTCTCCTTATCTCTTGTCACCAGGATGGAGGTGGCCTTTCTCACCTGCTGGGTGGCTCTTCAGAAGCCCATTGACTTGTTCTACGCCACTAAGACAGTGCTTTATGAACCCCAGACTGCCCTGATATTCCACCCTGGAATATTCCCGGTGTTTGTTCGGGCAGTTAGAAGATCAGACTGGTCTGTGGAGGGGGTGCTGTGGTCGAACCAAGACCTGCAGAACCTGAGCTTGAGATATTGGGGAGGTTTCTGATGTTCTTCAGCACAGTTAGTGTGAGCTCAGGGCTTTTGCCACGCGATGTCTGAGTTGTCTGACCTCACCTACAAGCTAATTTAGGCTGAAATGAGCAATTTACTCTGTGGTAAGGATTAGCAGGAACATCTCAGGGCCAAGTAATCTTCTTTTCCTGCAACTCTGAGCATACCCAGGAGGACGTGTCCTTCCCCACCTCGCTGGAGAAAGCTTATTTTATTGTTGGCAACAGTGATTTACAAGTGAGTTTGGGTTGCTCGTTAGCCTGACGATTTTCTAAAAATCCCTGTTTAATTTGCAAGGACCTTGGAGCTGTCTGCAGCCCCAGCTCTCCTCTAACAGCATGCTTGTGCTTGGGGCACGCTGACCCTGAAGTGGATCACTGAGTTTTCTTCTCCACTGAGTTGCTCACTCCCATTTTAATTTAAGTGGGAGTAGAAACATGCTCTCCATGTTACGCCGCCCGACTTGTCCGGGCGTTAGTCACGCTACCAGCACTGCAGCCTCTTGCTGCATGAAATGTCTTCCCTCCTGGATAAGTGTTGAGGTTGGTGTTGATTGCTCTGGCTATAAACTCTTGAATTTTTACATGGTTTATAAAAATGTGGTGGCTTCATATGCTGAACTCTGTCGAGAATCGTTGGTAGCAAATTATCAATTAATGGATTAAAAGTTGGCTTTTCTGGCTGCAGCCTCGTGCTAAAGATAGCTTCTGGTTGTGGGTGAGCACACCGAGGGAGGGAAGGAGGAGAAAGTCCCACTCCTCTAACAGCTCCATCAGACTTGTTCTAATAACAGAACTAGCAGCTGCTAATACTTTCTAAACTTGTGATTTTTCACGTCTCTCAAGGCGCTCTCTGCAATTAAGAGAAAGGAAACGGCTAATTTCTGGGATTGGTTAGACTGAGTGTCTCTTGACCAGACAGAAATTTGAATATAAAACCACCCCTCTGCCCTTTTGATGCAATACTTCTAGAGTATTTGCATCTGCTTTTCCTTTCGCAGCTTTGTTTTACCTTCTTAATCCTTGAAAGTAAAGAGTTGACATTGCAGTTGGGTCGTTTTGCACTCTGAGCCTCATACTGGGAGTCCAGACCGTGTTTTCAAGGTGCAGCATGACTGTACACAGGATAAAATAACCTGTTTGGGGAGTGCACAAGGAGTCGAGTTGCTTTCAGGTGTCTTTGAAAGACCCTGTGGCCAAGTTCTGGGTTGAAGCTCATTGCTGACATTGGGCATTGCTAGCCTAAGTGCCCTTAAAATACAAACACGTGCGGGACTCCTGGTGCACTGAGCTGCTTGGACGAGACCGAGGCTTGATGTTTGAGATGTGTTGGCTTTGCTTTTTAATTGTGTTGTCTGCTCGTTCATCAGAAATTTTTCAAGATATATTTGTGACTTCCACTTTGCGGTCGGGACTCAAGTGCTTTGAAGATCCCAGACCGATTGCCTGGGGCCCTGAATTGATCTTAGATAAACTTTTGCTATTTTCTGAGCCCTTTAGCAGCAATATTAAAACAAATTCAAGAATGAGGGTGCTTGGAGGGAGGTGGGGTCTGATTTGGCTTGGGGGAGGATGGTTCTTGGGGCACAAACCCTTCTCAGATACAAACTGCTTAATTCTGAAGGTAAAACCTCGTCAACCTGCAGCTCCTGGCCATGAAACACCTTGTGACTTTCTCCCATCCCTGTGGCTTAATTGCACTTTGAATCTGCGGATCTCTGTTTGTAGCTGGATACTCAGCTTCTCTTACTGCTAATTAAAGGATTTGAGGCTAAATTGGTCTTGTTGGAAAACTCTTTCCAGGCTACAGAGCCCTAATACGTGCTTGCAGCGTGTAGCTGGTTGATGACCTGAATTAAATCTCATACCTAGCATGTTTAAGCAGTTTACTCTCTATTAAATTGATGTTATTAGTTTTAAGTTATGCTTCTGCTGGACAGGATGGGGTGAAGTTTGTTCCGTTTGCCTCAAGAATGAGAAATTTAGTCTCTGCTTTTGCAAAAACTTCAAGTATCTGTATATAACTTGCTGGAAGAGTGGGGAAAATCTGATACCGGGGCAAGGTCATGTGCACATTCAAATGGGAATTTACCTATGGAGGTAACTACGGAGTACTAAAATCAGGAGAAATTTAAGCAAAGCAATTTCTGAAAATGTATTTTACATGATGTTTCCCAGTTATTTAAAATGGAATTCTTGGCTTCATATATTGGATTTGCCTTGTATGGCGTACTGGATATCTGTATTTGCCCGACGTGGATGAAAATACCTGTTGTTTCACCTATAATGACCTACTACATTGCCTATATGACCAAACCCATTGATTTTTGAGTAGGTTCTGCTGGGTTTAACAACAGTTTTAACTTCACTGTTGACTCTGGTTGTGGGCTATCGCTTATCCGTGTCCTCCCCTCCCTTAAATACCAGAAGTCCTCCACTCTGGAAGCAAACCAGTTTGAGCAAATAACGTGGTCACATTTGCCCTCATTTCCTGTTGGTTTTGTTAAAATACCTGATTTTTCTCTACATTTTCTTGCTTTAAAATCAGAGTATCTTTTGCAGAGGTATTAAGGTTCTCCTGCTGTAGAAAATTGCGGGTTTTACCCTCAAATGAAAAGGCTGCATGGTGTTTGGGGCTAGCACTGGAGTATTGCCTTGAGTGCAACTGGGGGTTTTTTGGCAGCTGTTCAATATTATGCAGGTCTGAGTATTATAGAACAGAAATTATAGGCACAATTTGGTGCACGTTTACTCCTCTTTAGGCTTCATCCAGGCAGGGATTTGTTTAAATGCTTAAAAAGTGCTTAGTGCTGGTGTCTAATGAAGGCCTGTGAATGCAGGAGGAGTCTTGAGAACTGGGGTAAGGAGGAGGAAAACCTTTCCTGGTATTCAAAACACCAGTAACTCCCTATTTTATTTTATTATCTGCTGTTTTGCTTGCTCTTCCTAGGAAAAGCCTTAGCCTCAGCCCGGGTTGCCTGTGCAGCCCTTGGTAAGCAATATCCGACGTACGGACTTGGACTTTGGATCATCAAAATAACGTTCCTTGGATTGCATCTGGGTCTGCGGCCGCAGTTGGATTGGATGCTGGTGTGGAAATTGAGATATCCGGGTGAATCAGGTACTAAAAGTGCTTGGGTTTTGTTTCTCTGACCACAAAACAACATGAGCGTGGCTCTCCTGGACTGCGATGGCAATGTTTTTAGTTAAATCCTCTGTGTTTCCTTCTGCGTTGCTTCTCTGGTTGGTGTTTACAGGGTTTATGAAAGCAAACGGAGAGATAAGGCTGCTTTCAAGTTGTGCAATCAGATGGCGCCTGCGCACGCTTGTATCTTTATTGGTGCAGTGGCTGTTTTTGGTACAGAACAGCCTGGTTGTGGAGTGAAAAAAGGAGCAAAAAGTGGTATATTGAGCAAAAATGGGTTTTATTTTCTTTGAAGTCAGCTCTTCTCATTCAGTCAGTATCCGGGACCAATTCAGCAGCAACTCTGAACAAACTGTCTCATACTAAAGCTTTCAGATTCAATTTCTGGATCAAATTCAGTATTTTCCTTTCCTTTGTGGTGTTGGGAAGTGTCACTCGGTTGTCACTTCTCATTCGAGTGTCAAACTTGGGGTGTTATTAAAGGAGTGCTGAAGTCGAAATTGGACTTTCAATATAAACCACAACTATTAAGGGGGGGAGGGGAATGGCTACATGTGAGAAGTTGGGAAGCATTAATTAATAGAAAAATCTGTTTTGGAAGTGTCTGAGCCTCCAGAGCGAGGCTCGTTAGGTGGATGAATTAATTCACATCTGGAGGGCTGAGATATCTGGGTGCCAGCAGCGAGTCTCTGACGATAAAGCACATGGCTGCAAGCTGAGAAAAATGTATAGAGGAGGTATGTATGTATATATGAAACTGAAATTCAGCTTTCCACTGTGTTATGGCAGAGCTGCACAGGCTGTCGTGGCTCTTAGGAAATCAGAGGGTGCTTGCCAGAAGAAATCAATGACCGCTGGGCTATGTGGTGCTTCCTGGAGCAGTTTTCTGTGCTCGCACAAGGATTTGGAGCTGACATGACCTTGGAATTTATTTTGTTACAATTATCACAAATCAAGATGTGTATTTTCCTGGACATGTATGACTGTTCTCTGTTTTGGGTGGGTTTTCCCCATCCTATTTGCTGGGAAACTGGGGTTTTAATACTAATTTATACGCACTTTGAAATCCTAGCAGGGGATCTTGCTGGTAGAGCATTGCTTGTGTGTTAGCGGTGGCTTGGGGTGAGCAAAATCCAACTGCAGCACCTGGAAAATATTTTGTCTTGTGACTGTTTTCAACTGAATTGTGTTTTTGTGCTCTGTGGGGTTCGTCCAGCTCTGGGACAACTTTTGTTTGCTCCAACAGCCTTCATGGAGATAAGATTTCCCAGGCAAAATAAGCGTTTTTGGCAAGGTGTCTGCTCTCGGTGTCCCATTTTTTTGGCAGTTGTGGAGTCGGGTGGCCTTGTGCATCAAGCCAGGGCTGATCTGTTGCACGGTGGTGAGATGTTGAAGCCTGGGATGTCTCTTGGTGGTGACCTCCTGGCATTCACGGAGCATGTCTGTTAATGGCAATAGTTGTGAAACAGCAATGCTGACAGAATTAGGGGGGGTTTAAGTTTATAATCACTAAAAAGAACCAGAAGTGGGCAGAACAGACCATAAATTGTATCAGAAAACGTAGCTAGGCAGAAGCACGCAGCACTGCTGGGTGTTTCAAGCTTTTGGTGGATTTACCTGCCTGCAGGGAACTGCTAGGTCGTCTCTGAGAAGAAATAGTGTTGTGAGTATTTAACGAGCTTGTTTAGCCTGGGTGCAGGGTTTGGTACATGTTTTATCCTTCAGGCTGCTTTCGTGTCCACCTTCCTCCAGGGTGGGCTTTGTTAGGAAGCTGAACCAGCAGCAAACACTGAGTAAAGAGTGAGTATCAGCTTAACCTCTGAAAAACCAGCGCTAAAATGTCAATTAAAACCTGGCAGTAATTGCTGTGGTGTGACAAAGCCCTGAGCAACCTGTTTGAACTTCTGAAGTCAGTCCCGCTGTGAGCAGGAGACCTCCAGACATCTCTTTCAACCTTCGGTATTTCTCACCCGAGGGCAAGTGAGTCTTGCTTTGACTTAGCTAAATTTTCCACGCCCGCTTGCTAGGGATAAGCTTAAAGTTAGTCAGAGCTGTTAATCTGGTCCTTTGGCCTCTGGAGTTTGAATTCTACGTGCTGAATTCTCTTGGCTGGGGGAAGAAGCATCGCATCTCCCTCATCCCTTACTGTCTATCCTGCCCCTGAAAATGGAATTAAAGATTAGTTTTAAATAGTTTGTTTATTGGCTCTGATATAAGGCGAGCTGGCTGTGGAAGTGTGATGGGTATTTCACGAGTGCAAGCGATGTTAAAAAGGCATTGGTCGTGGTTATGGTCATCCTCCTAGAGATCGTCTTTGCGGTAGAAGCTTAAATCTCGTGTTCAGTGGTTTTTTTAGTAATTTCTGTGAAAAGCCGGAGTGTGAGCCATTGCTGTTCTTGCTTTGGGGCTGTGGATGGGTTTGAGACCTCTTGTAAGCTGCTAAGCCAGGCTTTGACATGCCTAAAGCTAGACAGCAGTCCCAGGCATTGGGTTAAACCCGGGTCTTGCAACCAGCTTAAACAACTGGAAGGGACTTTCTGAGCTGGAAGGAGCTTTTTGAGGTTTGGGGAAAGAACACAAGGGAACAGACCTGTGCTTGTTGAAGCTCTCAAAAAGAGGTGTATTGGGTTGGTTAGCTCAAATTAAATAACTTTTCTCAGAATATTTAAATTCCAAAGCATGTACACTTTGGATGATGGTCTGGACTGTTGTCTTGGATCCCTTCACCTGTCCACATCTGCATTGCAATGCTTTTCATCGTTAAAGGTTCCTGGTTTTCTGACTCGTATGTATTGTTTCCTGCAAATAAAAATAGAAATCTGGAGAACAAAAAGGCAAGGGTTAGAAGTTAGTGATGTTTTTGGCTGTAATTATGAATTAACATGCATTTCTTTTCCTTACAGATCTTTCTTTCAATAGTAGCTTCAAAAATGAAGGTCAGAGGGTTCAGCTGGTGAAAAAGAACCGAACACCTCGAAGGGTCAACTCTGATTTCAGGTAATTATCCTGAATTTTACTCCTATGCTGATAAGTGCATGATTTGTGGGGTGCAGCTCATTTCCAGTATTTGGGGGCAGTAATTTCTCTTTTGGGGGTGTCACTGGAGAGAAGGTGAATTAATTACGGCCAGGGATGAGCTGCACCTGTTGCCTTCGAGTGCTTTGAATTGAGTAAATCTCATACGAGCTGTGGCAAATGTGGCCCTGGATTTGCTGGATTTACTGATAGGTGTTTGCTGGTGCGAGTGAGTAAAGAGCGTGTTACATGAACCTTCAGCAACATTAAGGCTGGATCAAATTTGATTGTCCTGATACTTTATTAGATGCAGAATTTAAATCTGCTTTACCAAGGGAGCTGATTCCAGTAGGGAAAATAAAAGGCAGAAACAGCGGAGAGCTGAGCTGAGAGCGCAAGATCAGGGAGAAGCTTCACACATGTGAAATAATTCAGGGGTTTCTGTATCTTGGTGTATTTCTCTGGTATTTAAGAATATCAGACACAAGGTTTTTTTGCTGTCTTTCACGTACATGTACAGCTCTATCTCTCGTACCCCTCGGCCAACGCTTTGAGTGAGTCCTGGTGGTCTCCCCATGGCTGCCACCGAGTCCAAATTTGGCCACTTTCTGCTCAGTTGAGTGGTTTTAGGAGCCAGGTTCCATCTTGGATGCCTGTCAGGCAGCACTGTGCAGAGCTGCCTTCTCCTGGGGGTTTGTATTTCACTCGGCTCAGGAAAACAGGACACGACTGTGATGTTTTTTGGTGTCTCGACCCAGAACTTGCTCTTCTAAGTGTGTTTTCTTTCTGGTAGTTTGCCCTAAAAGGCTTGGTAATAAATTGGGAAATCACCTCAAATACACAGCTATTGTTTTTTCATGGCTTCATCTTCAAAAGTATTTGGTTGGCTTTGTGACACCTGAATATTTTGGCAAGATTGGAGATTTATTATCTATAATAATAATAAATCTCCAAGGTGTGTGTGGTTACAGACAGCCCAGGCATGATGAGTGATTGGTTTTCTGAAGTCTCGGGTGGGAAAGGCTGTATGTTAAATATCCAGCTGCTCTAGGAATGTCTTGACCTCAGAGAATTTCTTGTTAGTGGACAGCAAGAAGCAAAATTGGGGGGGAAAAAACCCTTCATCTTTCCAGGAAAAGAGCAGTTCTTGCAAGTATTAGGCTGGAGTAGAGAGTGGGCATCAAATCTTTTTTGTTCTCAAACTGCAAAGGTGGACATAGCCTCATGCTCAGGTCACACCTATAGGAAGCTTAAATTTGGCACCGTAGTTTAAAACTGATAGTAGAATGGGTAAAAAAAGGACACTTTTCTGACTTGGAATAGATAAACTTCTCTTAAACAACTTTTCTGAGTTGTGTAGTCACCTACACCCAGATTCTACCATCTTCTCCATCCACCTTGGTGCGCCGGGTGCTCTGGGGATTGATGGAATTGAGTTTGGGATAACGATGTTGGGTGCCACTGTCTTGAAATAGATAATTGGAGGAAAGCTCAGACTTGATAAGATACGAAGATAACCGACAGCCAGCTAGTTTAGACTTTACTCATGGGGCAGCTTTACTCATGGGTGAGACATGCCGATGTATGAATCCGTATCCTCTGGCTCCGTCTGCCGTAAGGGGAGCTGGTGGCAGTTTGGGATGTGCCAGCAGGTGAGGATGCGGTGCCAAGCTTGGACGGTGTTGTAGAGCGGTGGTGGGACCTTATGTTCACACCTCTAGATCTTGGAGTGTTAGACCAAGGGTCTGTCACTTGGTGGTGGTGGGAAGGTCTCCATTGATCCCACTGGATGTGAATGCTTTAGGGTTGTGGTGGGTTGAACTTGGTTTGACACTAGGTGCCCACCCAGCTGCTCACTCCCCCTCCTCAACTGAATGGGGTGGGGGCAGAGAAAAAATAGGATGAAAGGCTCGTGGGTTGAGCTAAGGACAGGGAGATCACTCGGCAGTTACTGTCACAGGCAAAACAGAGTCAACTTGGGGAAATAAATTTGTTGCTAATCAAAGGTCAGAGTAGGATAATGAGAAATAAAACCAAATCTTAAAACACCTTCCCCACACCTCTCCCTTCTTCCCAGGCTCAACTTCACTCCCAATTTCTCTACCTCCTCCCCCCCACAGTGGCACAGAGGGAAGGGAATGGGCGTTGGGGTCAGTTCCTCACACATCGTCTCTGCTGCTCTTTCATCCTCACCCTCTTCCCCTGCTCCAGCATGGGGTCCCTCCCACGGGAGACAGTCTTCCACAAACTTCTCCAACGTGGGTCCTTCGCACAGGCTGCAGTTCTTTACAAACTGCTCCAGCGTGGGTCCCCCACGGGATCACAGCTTCCTTCAGGGCACATCCACCTGCTCTGTGGGTCTTCTCTGTGCAGTGGGTCCTCTGTGGGCCACAGGGCGGGCGACCTGCTCCACCGTGGACCTCGCAGGTGAGGACATGGTGCCAAGCTTGCAGGAGGTTGGGTCAGCGATGGACTTGGATGGTGTTGTAGAGCGGTAGTGGGACCTTAAATTCACACCTCTAGGTCTTGGACAGAAGACCTGTCACTCAGTGCTGGGGCATCTCCGTTGATCCCCCTGTTTAGGGTTAAGGCGGTGATTCTTCATCCCTTAAGTCTAGCTTAACATTTGATAGTGAGTAGTTCTGGTATAAATCACCCTTTACAAATGTTTTTTTGTTTCTGGGATCATTCATTTTTTCAGCAGAAATGGATCTTGCCCAGAGTTATCTTGGAAGCTGCACGTGGGTGCAGAGAGGATATATTTGAGTTGTAAACTAAAATACATAACTCTGCTGAGCCAGGGACGAAAGCTGATAAAATATTCACTGAGAATTTTCTGTGGCTCAAAAACTGCCTTAAAACTGGGAGGCTGAACCAAACACAAGCTACTTGAAATTTCAAGTAACTTACGTGCCAGCTTATACACCTGTTGTCCTTGAACATCTGCAGAAAAATGATGTATAAAACCCTAACACTGCATAAAACCACCTCTGGGTGTCTCCTGCTGCTTAATATGTCCAGCCTAACTTTCTAATCAGTACGTTTGTAATCATACTGTAAGATAGTAATCAATAAAAATTAATTACTCTCTGCTCTTTTTGAAATATGGCAAAATCTTTACAGCGTAGGTGGTTTCTGTGGCAGGGACTTGTTTGCTGTTAAGCAGGTGGGAGTTGTAGTGCAAAAACACGTGGGGCTATGGCTATTTAAGCTCTTGCATCAGGTGTAAAGCTGCTCAGATTCCACTTCAGTGTTATCTTTTTTTCCTTCAAGCCATAGAAAAATGAGCCTAGAAATAGCTGCTCCCCCCAAAATAGTGGGAACAACAAAATAAATGGATTTTTTTCTTGTTGTCCTAGCTGTATAGACATCCTGAAAAGCAGAGAAGCCCCATGGTTTAGGGCACAAGAATAAATAAAAACTTTTCTGCCATGGAAACCTGCTGTATTTAGGGCACAGAGCGGACTGAAGCAATCACAGAATTCAACGTTTGACTCCCAAACATATCCCCTGGGGCATGAAAAGGCACCAGTGGAGCGAAAACGAGCTGGGAAGTGCTGGGATAACATCCGCATGGATTTGGGGGGTGAGGGGAAAGCCGGCACAGGTAGCTGCGGAGGTCAGCGTCCCCGTCAGCACGGGAGCGAGGATTAGGGATGCTGATAACTGCCGCTGGCAGCATGAGGGTTGGACCGGATCCAGACGATGCTGTCTGGCCAGTGGCATGAATGCCGGCGCTCCCCAGCTGCCGAAATCGGTCAGATGGAAAAGTAAATCCCCTTTGCGTTTCCCCACTGACACAGATTGTGCTGTTAAAACAAAGCGGTGAACGCGAATTAACGACAAGCGGGTTTTTCTTTAGAGCTGAGGGGCAGTCGGACTACGAAGGGTCACAACAGATACCAAATAGCCACCACAAGCTGTGAAGTGAGGATTTCACGGTCCCCTTTCTGCAGGAAATGGTTAAAAGATGAAGTAGAAATCCAAATGCAAATTGCTCAGAGGTGGGAAGTGATGCTGTGGGGTAAGGGTTGCAAATTCTCTTCCTCTGCATGTAAATAAATTCACTTACAGCAGCAGCAAAGTAATTCCTGCGCTGGAAACTGCACCAGCGGGTCAGGTAGGGATAAAGAAATATAAAGTGCGAAGCTGAGCAGTTGCACGACTCGTCCGAGGGAGTTTCTGTAAGAGCCTGGTGAGAATGTGGTCACGCTACAGAGCAGCTGAAGCTTTTGACCTTGGATTTCACGGGGTGAAACGTCCCGTTTCTTGCAGAAATTGCTGCTAAACAGCAATAGCATCGAGGTCTGCAGGGTCGCTGTGTCCCATACAACTTGTGGAAGGGTTTGTGGTAGGTGCCCAACAACTCAACCTTCGGATCTCATGTGGTATCTTAGAGATATTTTAGTTTTTAGATATTCTGTATCCTATCTTGGAATTCTTGTGCTGTTTCATGAAATGGTTTCAAGAAGAAATAGCTCTGGAACTGTGAGGGAAAGGAGAGCTGGAGCCGTGTGGCTACAGCAAAGTGGAAGGAGGAAAAGAAAAAAAGGCAAGCATAAAGTTTACATATTTATTAATTGGTATTTAAACAACGGCACCTATTTCTATACCTTAATATGTAAAGAGGAGATACCGAGATGGGATTTCTCTCTCTTCTTTTATATACCAAAGTCTGTGCAACTTGGGATGTCTTTTTTGGATGAATCACACTAAAAAAACCAACCACACTAGCTGTGGATGTCTGATTTGGGGTAAAATACTTCTCCTTGTCCTAAATCTGGTCTGTGGTCAGGTTTGGATGGAGACACTATCCTTTGGATTTGATTAGTCCACTGCAGCATCCAGTGTGTTTTAATGTCACCGTAGATGTTTCTGAAGTGGCCACTCCTGTGTTGCGAGTATCTGGCTGGAGAAAAGGATCTTCTTCACCCTTGTGTCTGGGAATTTGGGGGCTAGATGTCTTGGATAAATCAATCTGATTTAACTCAGTGGCGTGTAAGATGGATACAGAAGAGGTCTGGACTGCTTGAAAATCCACAGCACTACAGAAACACTCCTCAATGCCTTTTTTTTTCTTTTTTTTTTTTTTTTTTTTAAGGAAAACTTACATGCTGCTGTATAATCCCGGTAGCTAAATCCTGAAATATTCAATTAATACGGCATAGATTTGCTCCAACAGCAGCTTTGATGCAAAAGGTGGGTTGTTTTTTTTTTTTTCTTGGTATCCCACTGTGTGTTGTGTGAAAGTCCCCAGCTCGGTCCAGCATCTCACAGAAAATGAATCCATCTGCACTACACCACCCACCGGCTTTATTTTCCCCCAAAATAACAGCAGCAATGGGGGAGAGGGAGCAAATCGCTGATAAGAAGTTATGCTTGGTCTTGGTTATGCTCTCCACAGGAGCATTGTGGACTAAGGTAAAACTCTGCACCCTCCTCATTTGGTTTTTCCTATCCATTCCTAAATGCTATTAACGATGCTGGATGGAAATGAGTTTCCCATTCAGTCTCTAACTAATAAAAGATATTTTGGATGGTGTGGTTCTTCCCTGTGGCCACGTGCAGGTAATTTCTGCTGACTGATGATGCTTTGTGTGTCCTGCAGCCTGGACTTGGAAAACACAGAGATAAAACAGATTGAAACCTGGATTATGGGAACAGCCACCGCCTTGGGATCCATCCACGGCATTATCCCCATTTCATGCTTAAAATGATGCTGCCAGGCTTTACCAAAGATAGCTTGCTGGGAGTTGTTAGTGGAGGCAAGAGGATTAAGTCGTTTAATAAAAAAAAAATTAAGTTTTTATTAAAAGGATAACTCCTTTTTCCTTTATCCTATTAAAAATTGTTTTCCAGTACAGATGACACACTGCCACCTCCTTATTTTCCAACTAATTAGTCCTGCTGCTTGTGTATAAATACATTGATATCAAAAAACCTTCCCTGCTTTGGGTCTTTCCAACTTTCCCTTCATTACACCACCATCATTGCCTGTGTGGAAGCAGTACTTCTTAATTCTGGGTGATCCTGGAGGAATCCAGTCCCTGTTTCCACGTGTTAATGGGGTTAATTAGCATCTCCTTAAAGCATAATAGGGACTCTAGGGGAAAAGAGGCACGTGCCAGCCCTAATCCATCTCCAGGAATGTTTTATGAGGCTTCTTTATAGTGTGTACATAGGTCTTTGTCGCTGTCAGCCTGGGACAGACAGACGGACAACCCCTTTGCTTTGTCTTTCTCTCCGGAGGTTTCCCAGCCCGCTCCCTCAGAAAAGGAGGATGCGCTGACCTCTCGCTGGTTTATCCCCCGGGATTTTTGAGTGTACGTCACTGGTAGCACACGGGAGGCAAAGCCGCTCTTCCCAGGATGCTCGTGGTTGTGACACATTATCCTCGTGCCGCCATTGAGCAGCACCATCAGCTGCTGAGTTTTGGGGACGGGGAAAATACATTTCATCCACCCTGTGGGAATTTGAGGTGGGAATTTTCCCCTTGCCTGGGTTTTCTGGCTCAGGTTGTGGCTTTGAGATGCGGCTGCTGAAATCAAGGACGGTGTGGGAACTTGTACAAAGGAGAGGAGGAGAGAGAAACTTTTTGAGTTGGGTTTTAAACATCGTTTTAAACTGATACCAAGCAGGCCTTGAGGAGCAAATACTACTCTTCAATTCAGTCCTCTCCCATATTGATCGAGCTATATGTACACAAACAAAAATAACCCTAATATCACGGGAGCTGGAAGCAGCCTGCTTCTTGGGCATTTTCAGATGCAGCTTTCAGTGGCAAGGTGATTTTGTTGGAAAATTATTCCCGCAGGGAGTGGCACATGCTGGGCTGGACGCCGGGAAGGCTCCGAGTGGGATTTTAACAACATCAGCTGAACGTCCACATCTCAGGTTAGGAGGAAGCCGCTGCATTTTCCCAGCAGCGGTCACCGGAGGCATCAACTGAAACAGGCTAAAACATAGTTAATTAAATCTTAAACTAAGAATTTGGGGGTTAGGAAGCGTTCGATGTGCTTTTAGCCGTTAACATCACCTCTCTCCCTTCCCTTTTGTCTGTTTAAGGCATGGGATGGTCGCTGCATGTGTTGATCCCTGTCTCCTGGCTCAGCAGGGTCAGAATTAAAGGGAGTGCTGGCCACCACAAATTTGCTAGTTATTCTTTTCAGCTGCTGGATTTTCCAGCCTAGCTGCTGTTTCCAGGCTATTTGTAGATAATATATTCTGGGGTGGGATCTATAATGATGCAATTTAACCATGAATTTCAGTTTTATGTTTCATAGCTCTGCACTTTTCCTGCAATACTACCCTTGTCTTGGATTTTGGGGCTTGGATTTGCCTTTCCAAACCAAATTCCAGTTTCTCCCTCCTCCTGCACACCTGCAGAAGAAACCCATGGCTTTATTTTTGCTTTAAAATGCTGCTTT